TGCTGGACTATCATACTCTTGTAGAATAGCAGCTATCAATGCTAATGGAACTGATGTTAGGAATATTAATAACATTGTGCCTGCTGAAGGTAAAGTTTATTAGTTTTGTTGTTTGCATTTATACCTAATATAAAAATAGAAAGTTTACTTGGAGGCTTGGAGCCATTATCGATATACCGGTACATTATGGTATCATTGGTCAAATTTAGCAACTTTAAAAACTTATTAAAAAATTAATTTTCATTCGAATTAGCTCAAACTTGAAAACAGCATAAAAACATGTTTATGTATCAGAAAAATTATAAAATTAAAGAATTCACAACTAGCTATTTTGGCCCAATTTTGGAGCAACTTTAAAGCTTCGTAAAAATCTAAATATGATCAAAATTGAAACAAATTTTTTAAAAAAGCATAACAACATGTACCAGTATATGCATCAGAAAAAAATTATTAAAAATGAGAAGTCTCTTTTAGTCATTTTTGGTGAAATTCGATCAAAGTCCCTATACAGTGAAGGGACTTTAGCCCAAATTTTGGAGCAACTTTAAAAATTTAAAAAAAATCTAATTTTGATTGGAATCAGCTTAAACTTTCTATGCAATATACCTGGTAAGTACATGCATGTATATGCATCAGAAAAATTATAAAAATGAATAACTGTCTCCTTTTTATTTTTGACCAAAATTTCTGTACTTTAGTAAAGAACTTTGGCCAAATTTTGAAGCAAATTCAAAAGTTTATAAAAATTCAATTTTGGTTGGAGTCAATCAGCTTAAATTTTCCACACAACATAAGAATTGTTTGTTTTTTTTCATTCTTTGTACAGGTATTCCTTCATCTCCAGTGATTACTGGTACTGTGCCATCTCCTGGTGTACTAGTATTAAGAGTGCGTACAATGTATCCTGGTGATACTAATATTAGGTTTATTGTTAATACTACTAACACATCTGATGGATCTATTATAAGTTCTACTACACATCAGTTCAATGGTTATGAGGCTAATGATATTGTTAATATTAGTATTAGTATACCTAATGGTGGGTTAGTATCAATCAGTATAGTAACCATCAATCAATATGGTTCTTCAGATGTTCTTACTCATCCTCAAATCTTTACTATTGATCCAAGTGAGTATATTATTATTATTTTAATGTGTCATTACAATACATTACATTGCAGTATTCAGCACTACTGTATCTATCATTACTACATCAGTTACTCCTAGTATATCAACTGCTACTGGTTCTATTATTGATACTCCTACCACTACACCTCAAACTGTTGATAAATCAGGTTAATGACTTCATATTTTGTTCTTATTTTTCATTTCATTTTCTGTTTATAATTATAGGATTATCAAGTGGTGCTATTGCTGGTATAACAATCAGTATATTTATATTACTGACAGTAGTTATAATACTCATCATTATTATTGTTTTACAATGTCTTTGCTTGAGACAAAGTATGTTAGTAATGATTTATATTTGCATTATTGTTTTGTTTCAGAAAATAAAGCATCTGCTGATGAAAAAGAACCAACAGCCTTCAGTAATATATCATCAATTCCTTCAGTGTCTAATGAAGCATATGCAGCAGTTGATTCAATTGTTAATGTACAAGAGAATGTGGCATATTCTTTACCTGCAGGACACACCATTACTGCAGCTAGTCCTCCTACTGGGTCATCAACTGCTCCACCTGCTGTATATGAAACTATTAATTTTTAAATAATTTTAAATCTATGACATGAGTGCACCAAAGTTATGTATTAGTCTAGTTTATTTAGTGACAACATAGAAGTGGGAGGAACTTGACAGAGATGAAGGTTGAGTTGTGCTACTGTCTGCTGTTTCTACTACTACCAAATGCGATTGTTTCTCAACTAACTTTTGTTACTTTTCCTTTATCAGAGCCAGGATCTCAACCAAGAGATGTGATTGGAAGGGAAGGAGAAGATCTGTTACTTTACTGTGAAGTTATTCTGAATTCCAATCAAGTATTGACAGCATGGCAGTACAAGAGAGCTAATGAAACAATGTTTGAATCTGTTAATATTAATATTAACAATGATATTACAGGACCAAGCTTCCTTTTGAATAAAATAGTAGTCGATGGAGACCTTTTGGGATCTGGAAATCTCACCTTTCGTAGTAATTTCACATTTTTGAACTTCACCAATGAGTTTGATTTGATAACAATTGAATGTGGAAATACTAATCAAGGTACAAGACAGTTTAGGTTAGGATTACCAGGTAGGTAAAATATATAATGAATCCATAAAATCATTCCTATTTATTTATTAGTTATTCCATCTCTATTGACTAATGTACCAGTTCAAACAGTAACTGAGGGTGAGGATATCACTACTGGTAGTCTACAACAGTTAGGATCTGATCCATTCCCTCCAACTATAACATCTTCACAATTATCATTAAATATTAATCCTGTATCTAACACTGGAGTAACCATTGTGAATGATTATAATGTATCATTTACTAATGTACAACGTAATCAATCTGGTATATATACTCTAACTGTTAGTAATGATGCTGGAACTAGCAACACTACATTTACACTTGATGTACAATGTAAGTATATATACATGTGTTCAT